TAAAGATATAATCTACTTATGAAAAATGGTGTTCTTAAGAGCTGAATTTCGAAAAGTAACTCATTAATATATAGAGATGCCAATGATACATTTAAAAGCAACCTAGAAAAAAAGGAGAGAAACATAATAATATGACACATTTCCTACATATACCTATTCTATTCACACAGAGTCACAAGATTTCACAAGAAATTCACAAGATTTCAATCTACTTAGGATTTATGTTTAAAGCTTGTGGTATTTCTCATCTATTTATTCATTTCTGATGAAGCAACTTCAAAATCAAATAAACTCAAGACTAACATTAAATTTTGATTCTTCAGCATATCGTATCCCTCCAGACACACATTCTGTTAAAATAATGAGTCTCAACGTTAGAATGTGTGCAGCCTATAAAAGCCATCTTTTGTCACTCCGATCATGGTACTGCTCAAATAAGAACATCGGAAGATGGGCTTATAAAGTGTAACTTTGCAAACTGCACATGAATTTGGTAGCTAGGTACTAATCCTTCACCCAATGACCAGGGAGCTCTCTAAGCCATATCAAATGGTTGGGCCGGGGGGAAGCACAGTCAGTTAGTTTGGACTGATCAAGCTAATCCCACCATGTGGTTTCAGATTCCACTCAGAATAAAGTGTACTGGGTTAATGATTGTTTCTCACAGTGACTGCAACAGAAGGGCCATTGGAGTGTCTTCAAAGGATAGTAAAAGTCTATTGATTAGCTCTCATTAGCCAGAATTTTCATCTTGTAATCCACTTACCATTGGGTGAGGAATATATAAAATTCCTTTGTGAATTGCTAATTTTATTATGATTTGAAATTAAAGACAAGATTTTAATCTACTTAGTGTTTATGTTTAAAACTTGTGGTATTTCTCCTGTATATTTATTCATTTTTGATGAAGCAAGTTCAAAATCAAAATAAACTCAAGACTAATATTAAACTTTGACTCTTCAGCATATCATAGCTCCCAAAACCATTCATTTTGTTAAAATAATGGATCTCAACATTAGAATGAGGCTACCACTTGTTAAGGTGGTTAATGTTAACTTTTCTTTCCAAATGCTTTGGAAGGCAATCACTATGACACCTGAAAAGCACACTGCACTGGACTGAAATGCTACCTTGCCAGCTACGGTCATGCAGAATGCCTTGTGATTTTAGCAGCTAATGATGGGCCATGTCTTCTGACCTCTATAATGCCACAAGTCAAATGAAAGTAGAGACTGAGCTCCCTAAAGTAGGAGTAAGTCTGCTTTCTGTGAAAAGGCCAAAAGAGCAATGCACAGACATTTTCATGCAAATTTATTTTCTGATAACAATAGAGAAAACTATGCTATGAAGTCCCCCTAGGTAACCAAGAAGAACAAATTGAGTTATTCATGCCTCATACTCACCCTCTATTCGAGGCTGTCAAGTTCAACAGCTCCTATCAATAGGAAGTTTGACACCCTTAAGTTAGCTGCATGCCATCAGGAAGGGCTTGCCTGAGGTCACTAAGCTGCACACAACTTCAGAAAGGAACAGACAAAATGGGACTGAATGGCAAACTGCTGAAGATCTGTAGCAACTATGAACTGAAAAGCCAGAGAATTACGATCGTGAAAGTTCACTCTGAACAAAAAAGCAAAACAAACAAAAATCAAAGTCAGCGAGATCATCTGTGGGTTGCACTTTAGGCTCGTTTGCCTTTTAGTTTTTCCATTGTTAGTCCATAACCTGAATGCTGTAAGCACAGTGAGGTGAGACAGGGAAACAGGAGACACATTCATGAGCCGCCCCCAGCTGTTATTACAAAGAAATACAAAGAAAAGTTCTCCAGCCTGTGAAAAACGATTCTCTCTGATTCTTGTAAGCATTACGAACTACACATTTAGCTGATCTGTTTGCAAATAGAAACCACTTCAAGAAAGAATGACTAGAATACAACTATATGCTTTCTCTCTGGTTGAAATTTGTATTTGTCTAAGCCTTAGAAAAACTGAATCTAAAGTCTCAGTCAAAAAATATGCCTGTAGGCTTGAACTAATCTGCAAGGTTGCCATGCTGTAATTATTTACTCACCTTGCATTGTTACAAAGGGGATTTAAGTACAGTCAACTTATCTGTACTCATGAAAATGAGTTATGAAATGAAGAGTAGTTATTCAGATAATGAAAAATAAAACCTCCTGTTATTTTTTAATCTTGAATTGAGATTATGGTTTATATTCTGAGAATTTTTAACACTGCAAGTATTTTTTTAGTCACCAGATAAAGACTGCCAGAAGCTGGAAGTTTGTCTAACTTTCCTAATCCGCTCCTCTGTTCGTGCCTCTTCCCAACTTACTGAGTTAGCAATAGTCTTTTTCACCTTACATTAATGCAAAGTAACACAGTGAACCAAAACGTGTGGATAACACTTTTGGATGTGAAAGAGATAAATAAGAGACCGTGAATCACCTCAGGAATGAATGAACTTTTTTTTTCTTTGAGATGGAATTTCGCTCTTGTTACCCAGGCTGGAGTGCAATGGCGCAATCTTGGCTCAACGCAACCTCCGCCTCCTGGATTCAGGCAATTCTCCTGCCTCAGCCTCCTGAGCAGCTGGGATTACAGGCACGCACCACCATGCCCAGCTAATTTTTTGTATTTTTAGTAGAGACGGGGTTTCACCATGTTGACCCAGATGGTCACGATCTCTTGACTTCGTGATCCACCCGCCTCGGCCTCCCAGGAATGAATGAACTTTTAACACCTACCCTCTTCCTGAACAATGTTTACAAGAACTTTGAAGCAAGACACATCCCCGAGCATCTGAACTGTAAAGTTCCTTTCAAATAGAAATAGCTGTTTAATCTTCAATATCAGATTGCTCCGCCCTTCCCAACATACATGCATCGATCAAGGGAAAAATGTATTTAGGAAGACAAATCAGTGGTAAACTTAGTAAATGTTACCTGAAGATTGGCAGGAAGTCTGAGGTGTCTTTTAGAGTATTCACCAAAAAAAAAAAAAAAAAAAAAAAAAAAAAAAAAAAAAAGTTCACCAAAAATGTTCCCTAGTTTGTCAGTTCTGGAAGACCAAAATTCCATGTATGGGGTCGGTTAGACCTGTGGCCAGGAACCCTGCACAGCCTGCACCTTCATGTTCACAGCTGTGTCACAGAAAGCAAGAGCCTCTCTCAATCTGCCTTCCAAGGCTTAGCCTCTTGAAACTCTCAGCACCAATGGAATAGATTTTCTCACTGACAGCTGAGCATCAGTGCTACATGAGGTTCGTTGTATAGAATCTGGGGGTTAGAAGCAAATTGGTCTGAAGTCATCTGTTATCATCTATCAAGGTATACCATTACAGCTATTACTGATGTGTAATGCAGCTTACAGAAGCTGGATAGTTTGTTATGTTGTGAGAGAATAACTTGCCCTGCTTTTATAAGGCAGGCAATTAGGAAGGTAGCATAACCTCAGATGAGCTATTATCTATTTATAGAATATATGTGAACTGAGTGAAATAAATGTATCCCAGATCTACTCAGAAACCCAAAAGGTATCCATTCATTGAATGTCTACTAAGAACCATAACGCACTATGGCAGCTGCTGCAGGGTGATAAAGAGTGAGCCAAGATCCCTTCCTTGAGGGTCCTCATAACCAAGCAGCAGAGCAGCAGATAAAACAAGTAAACATATAGGCCAACACATAAGCCTATGATCACTGTTAGAAGACAGCTGCAGAATTCTCTGGGAGTTCAGGAGGAGAACCTGTATCCTGCCAGGTGAAGGGAAGAGGTTTAGGAGAGGCTTAACCCAAATTCTCCAATCACCTAGTTAAACACAGCAATCATAAAAGAAAAAATAAGGAGAAAAGTTTAAGAATAAGTGTGAAGACAAATGCCCATCAACGATAGACTGGACAAAGAAAACATGGCACATATACACCATGGAATACTATGCAGCCATAAAAAACAAGTTCGTGTCTTTTGTAGAGACATGGATGAATCTAGAAACCATCATTCTCAGCAAAGTAACACAAGAACAGAAAACCAAACACCGCATGTTTTTACTCATAGTCGGGTGATGAACAATGAGAACATGTGGGCACAGGGAAGGGAACAACACTCACTGGGCTAGGTGGGGGAGTGGCAGGGAGGGGAGGGAAGGGACAGCAGGGAGGATGGGGAGGGATCACACTGGGAGAAATGCCTGATGTAGGTGACAGGAATCGGGGGAGACGGAGACAGTGAACCACCACGGCATGTAGGTACCTATGCAACAATCCTGCAGGATGCAGGATGTGCACATGTACCCCAGAGCCCAAAGTACAATAAAAAACAAAGAAGAATAAGTGTGAAGAACAATCATGCTGTCTGCATCCATCACTTTCAAGATGTCTGTATCAGGCAATCGCACAACGGAGCTAATACGCATGATAACTGCAGAGCTGGAGGCAGGGTCAAGGAGGCACAGCGGTCAACCAGGTCTCATCTGATCAAGGCTCATAACAAATGCTACCCAGTCAGAACTCCCTGGTCATTGCGGGATTAGTACCAAAACAATGATGGCTCTCAATTAACAGAATATTGCAGAACTGCCATGGATTTCACCTGGTACAGCTCTGTTTGCAGAGAGACCAACGTCTGTACAGTCAAGACAAATCTTTGTCAATTTATATTTTTAACACCCTTTATGGGTAGAAATGCTATAGTTTCTCTTTGCAGTAATCATAAAATGTGAATTATGCTGATACTCAGAAATCCTGTCCAGTGTTTAACAAGATTCTCAATACAGTTATAATCATATGGCATGCACAGAGGAACACTTATTTGTTCCAAGTTACTGTGCAGACACCATCGGGGGTCCAGGGTGACTTGGTCAGTGAGACTGTCATCAATAACAACAGCATGTTTATTGAGTGCTTACTATGTGTCAGCAACTGTTCCGACTGATTTGTATGCATTAATTCATTTTACTCTCACAAGGACACTACTGGGTAGTTAACACCTTTTCTATCTTCAGTTACAGAGGAGTGAGCTGCATGGGCAGAAGTTAGACGGCTGGTATGTAGGAGGGCAGTCTGACTCGACAGCCCATGCCCTCAGCCACAAAGCTAAGCTGTCTCCAAAAGCATCAGAGTAACCACACAGACATCAGGACAATCTTGTCACCAGGTGTGCAGCGGAGGAGCACCGAATCAGGAGGCAGAGGGCCTTGCTCTCTAACACTGTGTTTCACGGAACATAAGAACCCATCCACTGTAAGATGCACCATTATTATTCTTATACCGCGAAGAAAGGTGAAAGACTGCCAATCAAACTATGACACTGAAGTCAAAAGCCATCAATGATAAGACAATCCTGACCTCAGTTCAGCTGTCGGGGAGAAATGTGCATCTTGGAACCCATTAAATATGATTTCACTCTTAATTACATTGAACAAGTCATTTAACCTGGAGCCCAGTTTCTATATCTACAAAGTAGGGGGCTGGATATGGTGATTACTAAGATCCCTTCCAGTCTGACAACGTTAGATAGATAGAACAGAGGGGAGGAGAATGAAGTGACTCGGGCTCAAAATTTAACCACTCTCAGCGTGGTGCAAACAGAGGATGGGCCCTGAGAGTCGGTGCCTCCTTAGTCTGTATCCTAGCAACCTTAATTGCCTCATTAGTAGGGGCCTTGATAATGAATGCAATGTGGGATTGAGACAGTTTGTCTTTGGGGTTTTCCTACCAAGATCTTTTCACGATAATCTGTCCACACTTCAGACCAACTTTTTCCAACTACTTTCATGTTTCCTAGCAAGATGTATTTCCTTCACTTGCAGCATTTCTTTCATTTCTATTCCCTCCCTAGCTTCTCATTTCTATTAAAATGCCAAATTCCTAGTTAGTTTAGCTAGCTCTTCACTTCTTTTTTTTAGACGGAGTTTTGCTGTTGTTACCCAGGCTGGAGTGCAATGGCACGATCTCGGCTCACCGCAACCTCTGCCTCCTGGGTTCAAGCAATTCTCCTGCCTCAGCCTCCCGAGTAGCTGGGACTACAGGCACGCACCACCATGCCCAGCTAATTTTTTTGTTATTTTTAGTAGAGACGGGGTTTCACCTTGTTGATCAGGATGGTCTCGATCTCTTGACCTCGTGATCCACCTGCCTCGGCCTCCCAAAGTGCTGGGATTATAGGCGTGAGCCACTGCGCCCAGCCGCTCTTCACTCTTTTGCTGAGACCAAGGACAAATGTCTGCTCTGGGCTGGTGATTTTGCTGTATCTCAGTTAAAAACTACACACCATCTCGTGGGAAATCCACTGCTGCGCTCAAGGATGAAGCCTATGATACTCAGAAAGTGGTCCTTGGGCCACCAGCACTACATTGGCTCAGAATAGTTTAGAACCGCTGACTCTTAGGCTCTGCTCTGGACTTGCAGAATCAGAATTTTAACAAGATTCTTGGGGGGCTGAAAAGCACAATAACTTTGAGAAGCACAGGACTGGGCAAAATCACGCCAAACATGTGACATGTCATGACTGCTTATTGGCACCTAGTACCTGTCAAGTGCTTTCCACTGGGCATCTCCATTACAAGCCACCATATAGAGAAATAAATGCTAATTCATTTCAGTTCAATGGCCCCAGTAGAAGTGGTACACCAGTCACTTCCACCCAATGAGACAACATTTTTACACCTTTTTCCTGCAAATAGTGTCATACTCACCTCCCATCTAATGATCAAGACCTGAAGGGAGGCACAACATTTAAAAAGACTAAAGACTGGGACGAACGGCCTGATATTAACTGTGTTTCTGTGGGCCAGTTACTAAATTTTTGAAATTGAGTCTCTTCATCACAACAATAGGAGATGACAGTGTATGTTATAAGGATGGAATTATATAAGGGACATAAAGTGCTCAGTAGTGTATGGCATGCAGGAAAAGCTCAACAAATAAAGCACACTCCACCGCATGGCCAGGAGCAGATTACTTGTTAAACTAAACAAGCACAAATCACTGGTCTAACAATTTGCCCTACGTGTCAATTTCCTCAAGAAAAAGAAAAAAAAAAACAACCCTTCACAGTGTTTTGGGAGCTCCTAGGTGATAACAGGCAAAGATATGGCTGCCTCTTTGAAAAAAACGCTCTTCCCAGTGAGGGTATCTGATCCTACTTTAATTGTGATTTTAAAAGCAAGCAGTGAACAGTGCCCTCCTCCTAGAACAATAGACCTGCATAATCTGATGATGCAAGAGGCACCTTGCTCATTTATCCAGCTCCAGGGGCATGGAGGGTTGCTTTTGACAGAGTTGTTAAGCAAATAAGGATACTCATGGCTGCTCAATAAATTAAGCTCTTCTTATTTAACCTTGGCAAGTCAGGTCTGAGTGACCGACAAGATCCGGCATTGTCCTGCGTTCAGTGGTTGATGTATCAAGCACGCTCACAGTGTCCAGACCATTCTTGCCTTTGTTGCTTTTATAAAAGGTTTCATTGAATGGCTTATTAAAACTGCTGTATATAAAACTACTCCTTTGAAAGATTTCCCTGGCTTGCCTCCAGCTCAATTAGCAGACTACTTCCAGCTGATGAAATGTAACAGTCAATATCAGATTATAGTTAGCAACTATTCACAAGAGTAATCAAATTAGATTTTGGTATCTATGGTGATACAACAAAAATTTCCACTAAGCCCTGTGGTTTTACAATAAGGCTACCACAGCGTTATATTAAATTATTGCTCAAAACATTTTCTCGAAATTTAATCTGCATCTCAGGAGATACACATACAAGTCTATGGGCATATAAAAAATGTATAATCACAGCTTTTCCAATTTAAATACCAACTAGTAGCATTAAGAGTATGTGGGACCAATCTGAATGGCTTTGGGTCTGTTTTCTCTTCCAACAACTTTTTCTCAGTTACCAATTATAGCTGACCATGGTTGAGCTGAAGTACCAACTGATCTTTCAGTAAAATGTACCAAGCTTGTATGATCAAGACTGGACCAAGAAGAACGATAATAGAAGAGGCGATCACAGCTTTTGACATGCTTATAATAGAAACAGGACATTAAACATACACATTAAAAGACAATGTTAATACAGCAGATTTCAATTCATGTGCACATAGTGTAAAGAGAATGTGTATCTATTTGTATACGGCATACAAATTTTGTGTAAATTGAGTATAATTGCAAATAGGCAAACAGTAAAGGCGTTACTGGATTTAGTTCCTAACAAAAACAATCTAGATGAAATTTTCTTTAAAAGAAAAAAAAAAAACGGCTGGGCACAGTGGCTCACACCTGTAATCCCAGCATTTTGGGAGGCTGAGGTGGGCGGAACACTTAGGGTTAGGAGTTCGAGACAAGCCTAGCCAACATGGCAAAACTCTGTCTCTACTAAAAATACAAAAATTAGCCAAGCATGGTGGTAAGTGCCTGTAATCCCAGTTGAGGTAGAAGAATTGTTTGTACCTGGGAGGCAGAGGTTGCAGTCAGCCAAGATTGCACCACTGCGCTCCAGCCAGGGTGACAAAAGCAGAACTCCATCTCAAAAAAAGAAAAAAAACAGTCTCTGGTCCCTTGTGGCATGTGGCAGATCTGTGGGCAGGCTCCTGTCTGTGGCCTCGCTTGCACATAGCATCCCTTGGCAAGTGCCTTCCTGCCCACCATGCTGTAGAGGATCCAGCAAGACTAGCCCTGGACCTCCTCTATCATTCATGCCTAACTCCAGGAGCTGCAAGTACTGGGGAGCCATCCACCATACTTCTCAGAAACTGAGACCAGGCTGAATGGAGGATAGAAGGCTGTCTTAGACTCCTTTACCTCACGGCCCCCGCCATCCTGCCATCTTACTGCAAGTCCCCCTCCTCCTGCTCTGGAAGCACTAGGGTAAGCACGGTGGCTAGGCAGTCATCCAGTGGGGAGCGGCGTGCCAGCCGCCCCTCTTACCGGCATCCCCAGGGTTTATCAGGGATCATTTCTCCCCCCACTTAGCTTCTGGAAGAGAAATCACACTACCTTTTGATGTTGGGAGAATTAAGTGAAACAGCATATGTGAAAGTAATTTATAAAATGGAGAGGCTAAATAAATATCAGAAAGTATAACTGTCAGACGGCAACTTACTTAAAAGAAAAAAAGCAACACAGGTATGGTGCTTCTCTTCCCTAAATGCCAATCACATCACTCTGGATCCCAGCAATACGCAAAACAAAGCGACAAACAGCACAGTGGAACCCACTGCGCTCTGTTCCCTTGATGACTTACATTTACCTTGGTAACTACAAATACAATGACTTGGCCCTCAGGAGCCTTTCAAGCACCTAGGAAAACAAAACCAGCACTAATGTGACTCTATGTGTGTCTCCATCTATACGATCCAATGTTTTGGTAATGTAGTCACAGCCATGTCCCTTTTCTTCCTGTCATTATAAAAAAACTATTCTATAATCCAGAGCTTTAGAAATTATATCAGTTATAGCCTCCATTCAAACAATTAACTTAATACTCCATGATTACCAATTAGGTGCTCGATTGGGCAGATGCTTGCTCTTATACACAAAAGCAAGGCTGCATGTGAATACCACCTGCCTCAAACTTGACTGACAGGCAGGCCTTTTTTTCTAAATAAAAGGAAAAAAAATACCTCTTCTCAGAGCATTTAATTTTCAGGTATTTATGTGTTTGATTTGACAACCAGTATGTAATTTAGGTGGAATACTTTTAGATTTTCTCTTTGCAACCTAAATTTTCATCAGGAAACAGTGTTTCTTTTAGGGACATTTCAGACTTTGGAGAAAGACATATGCTTACCTGAGGACCTGTTTCAAATTATCAAGCAAAGCACATTTCTGTAGTGGGCACTTGAAAATCACACCCTATATTACTACTCAATAGGATGTATTATCTTCTGCCAGCCTCTCTTTTTATTATTATATAAATGGATGACAGAAAAAAAACTGATAACCTGTAATTTCACATGCCTTATTCAACCCCAAATCTATTCCCTTTTCTAGAAACACAATCAGGTATCTCAGACTGTTCTCTGTAGAATTTCAGACTCTGAATCTCTGGTATTATCTTGGAAGACTTTGTAGCTAAATTACAATATACTGCAATATTTTTAGGACTTTAAACCCTTAAAGATACCTTTGTGCATAAGGCTTCCCAAAGAATGAGGACCATTCCTTTTGAAGAAAAAGTAAGCTGAGGCAAGCTCACGTTTCTTTAATACTCCAATCTAGAAATAGTTTTATTATATCACAGGGGCCACGTCTACCCAATACAGGAAAATGGCCAGGAAAACAGTCAGGCCAGTGTTTTCAGCCACTGTGAAGCAGACTGACTGGACTGGCTGATGGAGTTGAAGGTGCTAGGATATCATGACGTGACATTAATCAAGCACAAGGTTGCTTTAATTTTTAAAAAACTATAATGGATTTATTATGAAGAATGTAAATATATTCCAAAAAATGTATATCCCAAAATTTCTACAGCTTCATGGCTTATTGTAGATTACCTTCATATTCACACTAATCCATTGAAGAGGACACCGAAAACCTTGGCGAAGTTTTTAGTTCGTTGCTAATTTGGCTAATCAGTTCAGCATCTATCTCTGAGATATAATAATCAGGACCTACCTGGGTCTTTTGGGAGGAAACCAGGGAGGCTTATGAAAGCTGGGACAGATACATGGGTACCATAGGAGGTGCTGGGGTCTGAAGCTGGATCCCCAGTTTGAGGCTGGCTCTACAACTTACCAGTGGGCTGACTTTAGACAAGTCCCTTACTCTCTGTTGCCTCCATCTCAGCATCTATTCAGTGAGGGACAAATTGGATAACACACGTAAAATGCTTAATTTATTAGTGTGTGTTTAACACACCAACACCATGTAGATGTATTTTTGTATTTCGTGGAAGTTCAAGAATAGGAAACACAAAATCACAGCCTCATGTAAACTCGAAGGTGGCTGAGGTCCAAGCCTGGTCTTTCTCAGAGGCCACAGGTGCCCCTCCATCATGGTGCCTCTGCAGCTCTCTCCAAATGGCTGAGTCAGCTCTCT